TTTCCAATTTTTATTATTATTTAAAAAAAATGTATTTAATTTAAATGACTTATTATTTATATTTTATAATAATATATATATATACAATATATATAGTTATTATATATAATATATATACGTGTGTAATTTAATTATAAGTGTATTTTTATATTAATATAAGTACATATTAATATAAAAATACACTTAGTATGACATTATATATATGATATATAGACATATATTATATAAGTATAATATATGTCTATATATCATATATAGATATACACATATATAATTTTTTTTATTTTTAATTAACATTAACTTTATTTTTTTAATGATTTTACACTAGCAGGGAGACTGCCTGTCAGCACAGACAGTCCCCCTGCAGGCAGACACATGGACACCTATTGTGACCATATGATCGCTGTGTTAAGCGATCACATGGCCACAGGGGTCCTAATTCAGTGTGGGGAGACTGTCTGGGCTGCAGGAAGTCTCTCCACACTGGGATCACCGCCGATCGCCGCAGGGGGAACGACGGCGATCAGGTAAGTAACTAGGACCGTTAGGACGGTTCAGGACCGTCAGCGGTCGGCAAGGCAAAAATGCCGATGACGGTCCTGAACCGTCCTCGGTCCTTAAGAGATTAAGAACAACAACTAAGGGAGAGTTCACAGAATAAAAAAGGGGAACACATTTACCCATCCACCACAGTATAAATACACATGACAAATAAGACATTGTAAAACATCAATAAAAATAATGGTCATAGAATGTTCTAAAACATAGTGAAAACAACAGCCAGAAATTGTAAAACAGTTTCATATCTAAAGGTGTATGTTAAAGTGAGTCTCCTAAATAGATACAAATGTATAATTACAGACTCCAATCTCCATAAAATATAATATCTACCCCTGCGAGACACCCAGCACCCTCACAATGAAAGAAATAGAATTTAAGACCACTATAAAAGGTCATCTAAGATAAGTGAGGACTAAATGTCAATTTGTTGGTTAGTTTCTGAGTCTCCTCCGCTTATTGTTTCAGATCTCTATGAAACTCACAAAGTGCCACTTTTATCTTTCAATTTGCATTTGTTAAGTGGAAAATATAATATTTAATACTTAATTGTTGATTTTATAGATTCAGTTGGAAACTTTACTTTTAAAAAAAAGTAAATCAGAAGGAGATTAAAAAAAAAAATAATAATCAGTGACGAGTGTGGATAGATTGTGACTGTGACACAAAATTCTGGAAAATTGTGTAAAATCCCTGACTGTTTCATTTCACAAGAAGGAAATTATTGTTTGAAGTGACAGGTAAATAGAAGGCTCAGCTTTATATTTTTTGTTTAAAAAAGTGCTAATTCACACCCTGTGAGACCAAAGGGTCAAGAGTCAAAGGTCAAAGGTTAGAAGGCATATTTAGCCTCTTTTTTTCTGTAATGCTTCTGTCTGAATCTCAAACTAAAGTTGTGGAAATAATTCTCTTGACAAGCCTCTTGCGATGGTATTAGTTGTTGTGATCCTTTGGATTGATGGATCTTAAATATATTTTCTCGACTCTTACCGCTCTTCTAAACTCTGCGAGGGGTCAGCTAAATTACCTCCCCAGAGAGCTCACTTAATATGGTATATTTTAATTAAAACTTGATGATGAAAAAACAGAGCATAACAGACTTTGTAGATGCCTTGCAATTAATGAATCACTTATACAAGTAGGCTGTAGGGATTTCTTTTTTTAAAACTTGCAGTCTCCAGCTACCGCAGTTTAGTAAACTTACTGAAAACATGCTAATGTGAAAGAGTAATGTGATTATATATCTTGTGATAACGTAGGCTTAATATATCGTAATAGAAAGAAAAGGATAACGCATACTAGAAATAAAAGATGTTCTTGTTAAAAAAAAGAAACCTTGATGCCCAGGATCAGCTATTAAAAATGGTATAACGAAATAGAACACACTTATATTTAACTGAATTTTAATTCTTCTCAAGGTATGACGTTTATTTATTTTAAAAAATTCTTTATTTTTGTGTGGGTTGTGTCCGCACATTTTGGTAATGTAGAAATTTGCCATTACATAAAGTAGTAGAGATGATTATGGCATAAAAACAAATAAATGTTACAAAGGAATAATAATCAAAAGAGCACAAACAATTGTTTAAGCAATGTGCATCTGCGGTGCTGGGGGGGCTTCTTGGAAGGTGGGTTATAATGTCCGGTGCAGAGTTACCTGCCTCTGGTGTCTGTTGCAGAGGGTCGTACTGCAGTCAGTGGGCATGGATCTGGTTCCATCATCCGCTCTTCCAGGTCAGCCTATTATGCCTGGGGCATTTTTTCATTTGAGACATCTTAGTAAAGGGAGGCTTAAGACCCGCAGGACTCACACCAATATATCTGCTCAATGTTCACACACTCCTTCGTGTTCCTCATGCTCGCCCTTACTTCTTGTCAGGATAGATAGTTAGTTAGCCCTCCCATATTAAATTATAATCATATAGAAAACAAAAGATAAGAATTAAGGACAGATGTCAGCTATACTAGAGGTGGTTTGCAGTAAAAACAAGTAAAGTAGATGGGTTGTACTTAAGCTATCTGACAGCCCGAAGGTATTCTCAGCCATGTGGAGTGGTTGGGTCTGGCACAGTCTTCTACCTGTCCCTGTCGGTTGATCATCTGGCCACGCCCCCCACATGATGTCTATTTTAATGCAAATTAGCTAAAAACATAGAAGCTCATGTCCGTTCATAAACTCTTGTTTTTGGCTAATTTGTCTAAATACATAGTATATGATTTATATAGTAGACACAGGGCCGGTACAAGGATTTCTGGGTACATGGACGAAGATCCATTTTCCACCCCCACCCCCCAAAAAAAACATATTTACCTGTGTGCCTCTTAACCTTCCTTTTGTGTTTCTTATCCCCTCTTTTAAATGTCTAAATGCCCCTTTAGTGTATTTTATCCCCTATTTTTTCCCATTGTTTGTCTTACACCTTCCTTGTGTATCTCTTACAACCCCCCTTGTGTGTTTCTTATCTCCCCTCTTTGTATGACCCTTACATCCTCCCACATTTTGTGTGTCTTACTCCTCCCAGCCCCTTTGTGTGACTCCTTCTCTCCCAGACTCTTTGTGTCTTTCGCTCTTCCCAGCTCATTTGTGTGTGTCTCTTTTACCCCCAGCCCATCTGTCTCCCACCCAGCCCCTCTGTGTGTCTCTTTTTCCCCTTCTCAAGCCCTGCTGTGTGTTTCATTCACATCCAGCCTCTCTCCCCTCCCTGTCCCTTAGTGGTCCCCTCCCTTCCCTGTCCTTAGTGTTCCCCCTCCCTCCCCCCTCTTTTTCTTGTCCCTCAGTGTTTCTCTCCCCTCCCTATCCCTTGGTACACCCCTCACTCCCTTAGTGGTCCCCTCCCCTTCCTGGTGTGCCTCCTACCTCTCTTGTAGCATGGCTGAGTGGAGCAGATCGCGGTACAGGACCTTCAGTTTTCTGTACCCAGCCGGACTAAGAGGAAGTGCTCTCTCAGTGAGCACTTCCTGTAAGTCCGGCCGGGTACAGGAAACAGAAGCTCCTTCACACCGCTCGGCCACGCTACACTCAGTGGAGTATACACACTGACAGTCACACACACTCAATGACAAACACACAGTCATCACTGTCAGACACAGACTCCCTGATCTTACACACACTCATTCATTGACAGACACATGCACGCACACACACTGACAGACACACAAACACTGACAAGCATTCATTGACAGACACACACTGATAGTCACACAAAGACTTAATGACAAACATACTCTCACTGATTTGACAGACACTCACAAACACACACTGACAGACATATGACATCATATTACGGCTCCCACGGCATCAGCAAATGGTGCACGAGGGAGCAAAGCAGGGAGATCAGAGCTCCCTCACCACCTCTGATTCTACCACACCTGCACGCCGCACTGGGGGGTCCAGAAGGTGGCCTGGTGGAAGGGAGCATTTCCCTCCTGCTGGTCACTGGAATCTTGCGCCCCCAGAGCCTGTGCAGCCTAAGGCGGCTGCCTGTGCCGCCTTATGGATGTGACAGTCCTGGGTAGACACTAGCATTGTCCATCCGTACTTTTAGAAGATGTCTTCTAGTTTGTTACAAAGCTCTAGAAAACAAATTCTAATGTAACATGATATCTTACATCACGTCAGCACCAGAATGAAGTAGCTGAATCTCCTTGAAGGACATTGACACAGAGTGAAAGAAAGCAAAGCAGCCATAATGTTCTAATTATTGTTTTTAGTAAAAAATGTGGGTGAGGACCATCATAAGGGAATTGTAGAAAATGCAGTCTTAGAATTCCTTCTCATCATTAGTTATAATTATATTTTGGGTCTTATAGTATTACAATAGATAAAAAGATATTTTGTGTTCTTGAACATCGTTACAGATTGTTCGTAATGTGTCATTATCACATGCAGTACAGTACAATGAGTAAAGCATGCTCATGATATAAATATGGACATTTAAAGGTTGGCTTTTATATTAGGGTTAGGGTTGCTGTAATTTATAACATCAGCCATTTTTAGTTAGGACTTCCTAGGCCTAAATCTAGATTTGAATAGTCAAATAAAGCAAAGGTTAGGATAATGAAATGTAGAATTAAATTAAATGCATTGTGGTGGTTATAGTATCAGGAGGCCCTGGTACCCCAATGAGAGTTATCAAATCATTTGCTAATGGTTTGATTCTAACCTGTAGTCCACCGGGCATTGTTCCAGACTCTCTTCTTCTGGTATTAAGAGTCAAAAGCTCTTGCTAGTAGTTTGCGTTAACTCTCTTGAGCTAAGCCCTGCAGTGGTGGGTCCGCTTATGAACTGAGAGTGTCAATTGATCTCTCTCAGCCATTGAGCTGAGCCCTGCTTGCAACAGACATAAGGTTTCTAGCTGCAAAGAATGGTGACAGTGAACTCCAGCTAAAAAGTCAAATTGTTGACAAATGGTTTGATGGTTTGGCTACTTACATTGGAGGGCCTTCAGGGTACTCCTGGCACCATAACCACTCCAGAGTTCTGTAGTGGTTAAGGTGCTCGGAGTGTTGCTTTAAGCCTGTATTTTCAAATTTAAGTTGTTTGCTTAAATGTAACTAAAAGCTGAAAAAAGAATGGCATTTAGAGTTGACTCCTCTGTGATGGAATAATACAGTTTTAACTAACTCCTTAAGGACCGTGGTTTCATACAATCGCTTTATATCTTAACTATTAGATCATTGGTCATTAAAGGGTTGAAACATATGTGTCTCTAGTTTAGAGGCCTAGGAAATATTATATATATAAAGTCTACTCAGACAGAAGGATTTCCAGTATAGAATCGTGCAGACCTGATGGAGGCAGTTCTAACAAAATGCTTATTGTGCCAAATGACATATTTGTGAGTTAGCATATGGTATAACCCCGCATATTACACTAATTTGTAAGAAGTTAAATTCTCCTATTACTCCTGTTAGATAGAGGGGATACAGTTAAAGTTCTGTTAGATCTGATTATGACTTTACGCATTACTTATCAACAGGATATTAACCTTTAATTTATATGTATATATAAAACCCTCACGGCTATTAAGCGTGCCCATTGTCCGGACCCTAAATACTAAAGCGCTCTCCAATTATAAAGGGTATTTGATGTGCTTAAAGAGCTAATATGCGAGTACTTAGCTCGAAATAGTCTGGTCTTAGGTTAAACTCTAAAATCATACACCTAAACCAACAGAAAGAGTGAGCCCATCAGAGAAGAGAATTTGGAGGAGGAAGTGCATAATTAGATAAATGTGAGCAAAGTTTGGAGAAGGATTGCTAAGGGGTAACAGGAGATATTGCTGCTGTATTTCTTACCCCCTTTTTGTTTTCTTTCAGTAAAAGTTCTATCAGCTGGGGAGAGCTGTTCTGCCCTTTGAAGCTATATTATATTTCTCTGAAATCAGATTCCTTATTCCCAAGACTCTACTGTGCAATGCCAGCACTAAGTTGGATCAGCAGCTGCAGAACACTTTAAGGAGTTAGCAAGCCACTATCAAGCAATTACTTCTTTCATTTAAGACCCCGGCCTCTGATTTTTTATTTCAAGGTTTCGAGGTAAGAAGGAAAAGAGCCATATTTATATATATATCTATATATATAAAATGATTTGAGCAAGACATAAAACATATACATCAATATAAAGTATTCTGAAAGAAAGACTTTAAAAGGGGAAACTAAACAAAACAATTGTGAACATGGAGGAAATGTCTTTAATTTGGCAACAAAAATATATATGTCTGAGCTGAGAGACCTTTATTGTGAATTGTAGTTCAGAATGATAGAGGGTAGTATTTCTTTAGTATGTCTTGTCTGAATAAAAGTTTAAACATTGATTTTTTTTGGAACATGCGGCCGTGAAACTTTAGACAGAAATACAAAATTATCGCACACTCTACTACACTGAAAATCATTTGAAGGAATGATTACAACATCAATTTGAAGCCTTAATTTGAACGTATGACAAGATCTTGGCCTATGGTCTATTTTTACTTTTTTTGGCTGCCAAAAAAACAAAACAATACAAAACAAAAAGCATTTCTAGGAAACTAAAATACTACTCACATCATGGCAAACCATGATGGGATTGATACTTCTGCTACACCTTTTGGCTCCTGGTCTATAGATGTACCTACTACATAAGTACGTGCCAGACTGATTTCACCCCAATCAGTTTTTGGCGTCCATTTGACAGATTGGTTATTGTACCCTTTGTTGTGTTTAAGAGGAGTGAATTAGCTGCTTTCGAGTACATCAATGAGCAATAGGAAGAAATGCTGGATGACAAAAGTTGATAAAAGGACATAATCTCTGCAGAGGGACTGTAAAAAGCAGTACCCAACCTCCAGCCACACTAAATTTATTGATCCTTTCCAGCAACCAGTGATTGGGGAGAGAGCAATGGACACACTGAGTACACTACAAGATTTAATTTCAGGTAGCAATAACTGCCTGCAATGTTCTGTATTCTACAGATGTTTGGTTTATTATTACAACACAGACATAATGTTTTTACATTTTGGTGGGGTATACAGAAGCATATGAATCTGGGGGGCATAGCCTAGCACCCACGCTGAACAGGTGTGCTCTGTGCAAAACAGCTCCTTTCCAGCCGAAATGAAAGAAAACAGCCCTAAATACTGCCTGCAGACAAGCCCCAGAGACAATATTCTCTGCACACTCTCTCCCCCTGGTTCTCCCCCCCACCGGTGAGGGATATCCTGGCAACCACAATCTGTGGGACAGATACAAAGTACTGACGCTGTCGCACCTGTACCACCAGACCAGCACAGTTCATCATGGCGGATGCCACGTGCAACTGCACACCCAGCTCTTCGCTGCCCTCTCTCGCTGAAAGGCTGGACCGCCTGTTCTCAGACTTCTGGGCTAAGCTCTCTCATCGTAGGGGCACTCATGAGGAGGCTTCGCAGGCAAAAGTCCCATGAGATATCGAGCAGCAGCCCGCAGCTCCCAGACGGGGCCCTGATGCAGCACAAATGGCAGGAAGGAGGAGGAGGACGTCCCGATGAAAGCTTCAATGCCAACATGCTGGACTAGCGATGTGCTGCACTCTCCCTAAGTAGCGGCCTACCATGGGACCAATCTCTCAAAGCCACCCCATGCAAAGATAACATGCCGGGGGACCTCGAGTTCTACCAGCATGCTGTCATGGGAAAGCAAATCTGTGGTTTCTTGGGATTCTCAATTATCGGAGAATGTAAATTTCTGACAAACTATTTCTTGGTAAAGGATATATCTACAGACCAGAGAGCACTTGATAGATGATCATCCATATTATGTGGTTTACTTACTAAAAAAAACATTTCCTATTTAAATATTTTAAATAGTACTTTACTTAAAATCAGTGGGGTATCCTGGTTTTGTGCTGCCCTAGGCAGGACAAAACTCAGGCGCCCCCCCCCACGCCACCCCCACCCAACCCTTCCCCCCCGCCACACCTTCTAAATACACACAGACACACACAAACACACACACACACACAAACACACACACAGTCAGACACAAACACACACACACAGTCAGACACAAACACACACACAGTCAGACACATACACACACACAAACACACAGTCACATACACACACACACACACAGTCAGACACATACACAGACACAAACACACACACAGTCACAAACACACACACACACAGTCACAAACACACACACACACACAGTCAGACACAAACACACACACAGTCAGACACAAACACACACACACAGTCAGACACATACACAGACACAAACACAGTCAGACACAAACACACACACACCTCAGTCACAAACACAAACACACACGGTCAGACACAAACACACACAGTCAGACACAAACACACACACACACACAGTCAGACACAAACACACAGTCAGACACAAACACACACAGTCATACACAAACACACACACACACACAGTCAGACACACACACACACACAATCATTCACATTAACTTTTTTTTTTTACCCCCTCCCCCCCCAGCCTCCTTACCTTTGGGAGTGCTGGGGGGTGCGGGGTCTCTCTCTCCCTGGTGGTCCAGTGGCTGCCGGTCGGGCTGGGCAGCTGGCGAGGGAGCACTTCACCTGAGCTCAGAGGAAGAGCTCCCTCGCCAGCCGCCTGCCAGCACCGCCCGCCCACCCGGCATGTCTGTTAGCCGCAAGGCTAACAAGGCATTTGCCCTGGGCATTTGGGGGCGGCTTTTTTTGCCGCCCCTTGAAAAATGCCGCCCAAGGCAAATGCCTTGTTTGCCTCGCGGCTAATACGCCCCTGCTTAAAATGGTACTGGCTCATGATTCATGATGCGATGTAAGAAACTTGTTCTTTCTTTTTTGCAAGGTGCATTAAAAGAGACTATTCAGGCCTTCTTATGCTCCTTGAGGGGTTCTGGAAATGGTCATAGGAGAATGAAAGAGTTCTGTCAGAGTTCCATGTAGGAATATTAAGTAACTTCTCATAAGTGGCTCAATATTAAATAACAATGGCTGACAAATCCAGTGAAAGTCAGAGTCTCAGGTGTAGTACTAACATCAAGGCGAGTCTGTTGAGTCAGCTCAAAGGGAAACGCTCACTGCACAGGGTAATTAATGTTATGTTTACGTACCTCTTATATTTAACACATATTTATTTGTGAGGTGCAAAAAATAAAGTAGAATTTAGAAATCCACACCTCTTTATCCGGCAACTGGGTGCCTCCATCTTGGCTTCCTGTCAGCCATTGTTATAAACGCTGTCATTTCCTCCTGTCAGTCAGCATTGAGAAATCACAGGATAGGATAAATTAAATAGTGGGAAATAATTATGAAAGTTCTGCACTTCTGATTTTTTTTAATGCTTTTTTTTTCACTGTAATTTATTAAATCTGATTGTTTTTGTTTTCATCAGTTGTTTCTTTTGTGCCCGAACCATAATTTGATTGTGCACAATTTTTCTGGGGGTGCGACAGGTTTATCAATCTTTTCATCACTTTTTCTGACAGAAAAGTCTTCTATTTCATGTCTCTTGTTTCCGTGACTCTCAATTTCTGAGACAAATGTCGGAACACTTTTTGAGAACATCTGTGGAACAATATAATAAATGCGAGCATATTAGACAACACTTTGATGAATCTCCTCCTTGTTTTTATTTCCTCTCATTATTTGCTATGTGTGTCCTGGCAGTAACTGAACCGAACTGGATTTGATGTAATTTGCTGAATCTTTAAAATAAATTGAATTGTAATTTTTTAAAAATTTTGTTAAGTAGTGTAAATTCCAGATAAGCGACAGTTTCCCTTTAAGCTACTCTGAGATGTTTTGTCTACCTTATGATTTAGCAAAGTTCTTGGCTTCCTGAAAGTCATTTTTATACCAAACTCGCAGCTTCCATATGAGCTTCAATACTCTAAGAATCAATCCATTGTGAAGGAAAAACAGCAGGAAGCACCTGTAATACCAAATTTACATTGCAGCTGTTCCATATTTAATAATTGACAGTGATTACAGGATAACAGGAAAGTGGGCTACATGTGTATAAATATGAA